CCCCAAAACCCCAAAACCCCAAAACCCCATTTGATAGCATTATTACTCTTATAAGAGAATAATTGTTTGTATTTATGATTATTATATAATGCCTTCATATTTACTAATTGAGAGTATAGCTAGTAATCTATTCTTTATTGACTTTCATCTCCCCTCATATTTAACTATGATTAATCAATTCCATTTATAAAAACTTGAATCACTCCTTAAAGTTGTATTCTAGACATCATTCCAGATCATCATCTGAGTCATCTTATTCCATTATTCTTCTTGCATCTCTGGCTTGACTTAGTCTGACATAGTTGAGTAGGCAAACCCATGTATCGCACAAGTTTTCATTCGAAGTCACGAAGAGTAATCTTTTTTCTGATTCTGTCATCAGCGATTGTCTGTTAGTCAGAGAATTTGTATCTATAAATAAAAGTTATTGTAAGGTATTTTAATTACTGCTAATTGACTTTGAAAATGTTTCAGCTGACTTGATTTTAATATCTGAGACATTAGTCGGAGCTACAATATTATCCTCTATCTGAGTTTGAATCTCAGGATCAAGGGCAGTAAGATCCTCTCCGGCTTATTCCTTATTCTAATATGAAAGTCTATTCACTTTCTTATTGTGGTTTCCAGCTTGCATCTTGAGCAGATACTTTTTATCAAGTACCTATCCGATGAGAGAGCTATCTAGTTTTATTTACTGATGAAGATCACCGATGTTCTATGTTGACTGCCTTCTGATCTAATTCATTATCTGACCCTTGGTGGGATTCATATATCGAGCTTAGGCTATCTTAAGCTTTTTATGCACAGCACTCTTTATTCTGTTTTTCAAAGGAGAAAGTCCACCAAGAAGTCCAGCTGCTAGGGGGTTTATGCTTTGACTTAAGATCTCATTTTATGATGCTTTTATTTCAACATTCTTCAGAAATATCTCCAATTAAAAGAATTTCTAGCCGCCTGAGTTAAGCTTCTTTTTGCTATCCTCCAGTTTGTAGTTCACTCGACAAACAGTCTTGATCGTCTCTATTGGGATATAGGATATTGGCTTAGAAGTTGGTCCAATTGATGACCATTAATTTTTATAGTAAGCGAAACCCTATTTGGTAACTGTACACCATCTATCGATCAAGGTCAGATTCACTCCAGCATGATACTTTGATATAGCAGATTCGAAAATCACCAGATCTAAATTAAGTTTTATGCCGTAATCATGATTTATTCTTACTTTTATCTTACTGTGATAAATTAAAGATAATCTTATTCTTTTTGGCACTCGCAGCTGGCTGTTGTATTTCTAGCTCAGTTAGAATTTTCAAGGCTTCTTCTTAATTGAATGATTCTTATTCATCAATTGATTCATCAACAATCAAATAATCTTCAGGAACTATCTCATTTTCTAGATTCGTAATAAATTCTCTGAGCTCATCTTCCTCCTGCACATTCAGCTCATGTTCAGTCTCATGGAGTATATTGAAATCTGAGATTTCAGGAACTAGATTTGGAGTATGCTCTGACTCCTCAGGGTTAGAAACTATGTTATGATTTTCCTCAGTATTCTATTCCTCATCTTGAATGTCTCCTTTAGCTTAAGTGATTATATTCTCATAATACTTCATCTTTTCATCTTGCTGGGATTATGAATTCAAGAGTTTGGTCACTCTTCTCTATTCTGATCTGACCTATATACAGATAAGACTATTAATAGATCATACTCTTGCTTTTGATCTTGTTTTGTAATTCGTACTATTAAAATCAAAACTTATCTCGGTGCTTTTGCCAATGCTCTGATTCAACTAATTTATTGCTTCAGTATCCATAACCTACTTAGCAGCACTCATCTCTGTCTTCATAAATTTGTTTTTCCTGGCTAAAATCATTCAGTAATGGCAATACTTTACAAGTAGGGGAAGGTAATTCCAGTATTTCTTCTGGAACAGGTGCCTTTGACTTAGATCCACAGATTCCCATTTTATTAAGTTTTATGAACTTTATTGCAATTTATAATATAATTATGCTTATATGATTTGAATCTACCTCATTGGGGTTTTGGGGTTTTGGGGAGATCGGAAGAGCGTCGTG